TATCGATTTTTTCGATTTTTATCGATTTTTTGCAGAATAAACCTACGGGGCTGGGAGTTGGCACAGGGGGGGGGTAACCGAGTATGCTGATTACGAATACAATATTAGTTTCTAGAATTATCCGCCGCTTTTATCGATTTTTATCGATTTTTTGTAAAGTTTGTACGGGCGGGAGTTGGCACAGGGGGGTAATCGAGCATGTTGATTACGAGTACATTATTAGTCTGACGCTATTCGGCTATCCGAGCCGCAGAATTTTTTTTGTCGTAGAGCTTGCACAGACTTCGTGTATGGGTTATCTTACATGCTGATTACAGATATCAGACTTTCTTCGCAAAATGTTTCTCCTCGTGGTTACGATAGGTGTACGGTAGGAAGTCAAAATCATGAGAAGTCGGTCCAGAGAACTTATTCTACGTGCTGATTACGAACTCTTCATACTCTCTCTACATATTGGGACCTCTTCATAGAGTTAGGGTGGTTATATACGGTGTGGGGTCGAAAACATATATTTGCTTCAAACTTCGTCTAGGGTGGTCATTTAGCGCGCTGAACATAAATATCATGTTGATTTCGCAGAATGGTGCATTTTCTTGGGTTACGGAGGGTGTAGATGGGTCGAAGTTCCAGATTTGCTCAAAACCTTACCTGTAACGGTTCACAAGTATACTGCTTATGAATATGAAACTTGCTCGCTGTCAATGGATTAGTGAAGTTATGGTGAGTTGCAGGATTTGAATGGACAGGGCCAATTTAGATCCCAGATATTCATGAAATGGGGAAACGGTCGTTTTGTATGGCGGTCTCCAGCGCCATCCTGATAACCTGTCCCAACGTTAACGCACGCGGCAAATCTCCCTCCCCCTGATTTGCTTAGGCAAAAGCCGCCGAGGGGTGCATCGCACGCGACTAATCTCCCTCCCCTATTTCTGCTTAGGCAAAAGCCGCCGGAGGATGTATCGCGCGCGGCAGTGGTCCTATAAAGAAAGCATTACGGTCGTGGGAAACTTTGATACCAAACGAATTGCCTTTATCGTGGGGATTGAGCACAATATTCTTGAAACAGCACTTTAGGTAATTTTCCGCCAAGGTTTCAGGCAGGTTCATGATTTTTACGCACTGCCATGTACCTACCGTAACTCTGCGAAAAGGTCTCAAAACGCAACGATAGTGTTTTAGACGTGGTCAGAAGGTCGAATCTCTCTAGACCGAGTTTCAGCCAAAACTGAGATTTCGCTCCTCTGCAGTATACCTACCATAACTCAGTGAAATCGCCTCAAAATGCCGAAGAAGTATGATATTCGTAATCAGTATGTCAATTAGCCTCCCTCAAAGTTTAAGCGAAATCCATGATTTTAGCTTCTTATGTGTACTCAACGTAAACCCAGAAAATGGCGCTGTATCGCGCGAAATTACTACGATATTCGTCATCAGCGGCTTTAATGATCCCCATGTACCGACTTTGAGCAAGATCCATCACAAATACATTTTGGGGCCGGATAGCCGAATAGCGCCATCAGTATTCAGAATTATCCTTACTTTTACCGGTTTTATTGCTTTTTTGCAAAGTTTTGACTACGGGGCTAGGGGTTGTTGAGGGAGGTAGGTGGGCATGCTAATCACTAACACAGCGGGAATAGGGAATTGCATGTAGAAGTGGGCACAATGAAAGGTTCTACAGGGATAGGGATAAAACCTTAATCATAGCATTGACAGGGCCGGGCGAAGCCGGATAAGCCAGCTAGTTTAGCATAAAGAGGTCAGCACATTTTCCCAACTCATGTAAGTAACTTTTGTAAATTTTGCGAGTGATTCTTGTCCCCCCCCCTCGCCCCGATCCGCCGCTGGTGCTGGAACATCCGGATAACATCGGATTGAGTATTTCATTATTAAAAAAGAACGTAACGCATTGCATTAGTACCCAGATGATGACATCGTGACAGCGAGTCGAGACTATGCAAATTTACAGAAAGTCAACAACTCTTCTCAGAATAATTCGTCGCAGCTACGAATAGCATTATACGGGGTGTCCCAAAAGTATGTATGCACTGTTTGATCGTTAATATCTCTCTTCCCAAGAAATCTTTCGACTTGCTTCAGGTACCCTTCGGTAGAGCTGGCTTCATCTTAGAATTGCATTATAGAAGAATCACCCATTTCTCTTCATTACTGTGGGATTACGGTAGAAACATATGATGTCAATGTGGGAAATGCTGCCGTTTCAAAAAGTTTCAAAAACGTGTGAAAACTTGTGCAGTAGGGTTTTTATGGACGCTGTGTTCAATATTCAACTATTCACAAGATTGCAAAGCTTTCTAAATGGTGTAACCGCACTTTTTAGGAGCATTGAAAAAATGGCCGCTACTGCTACCTGGCGTAAATCTCCAATGAAGCATCATAATAAGCTGGGAACTTTACATTCAGAATCAGCAACTCTAATTGGCCTAGTGTAAAAGTTTTTGGGCTGTTTCAATTCCTTTCTGAGGCAAAATATGGCCTTTTATAGCTCAAAACCCTCTTTGAAGTTTCTACCGTAATCCTACAGTAATGAAGAAAGATGGGTGACTCTTTCTATTCTGAAAATCTAAGTTGAAGCCAGCTCTACAAAACGGTTTTTGAAGCAAGGCAAAAGACTTACTGGGAAGGGAGATATTAACGATCAAACAGTGCATACATACTTTTGGGACACCCTGTATGGAATCAGCGTTTCAAGCTGATTCCAAATGTATGTGGCTCTTCTCGAAAGCAGTCTTAGATAAGTGGTTCTAAGTTGAGTGCAGGGCTCAGCACAGCTGACACCGGGTCAAGCTGGATATCGTTTTTAGCGCGGAAAGCAAAGGGGATATCGTTTCTACAGGGGCCGAGGCGGAGAACTGCCGCAAAAATGCCGCCGGCATGCCATCGGCATGCCATTGGCAAACTGTCCATCAACAAACAAAGGCGTTGTTTTCAGCCAAAACGCAATAGTATGACACCAAATTTGGTGTGTGCATGCGCGTTGGTGGACCGGAACTACGGGCCAAAAATTTATGAAAACTTATGTGAATGAAAGCTGTGCCCAACTTTTTTTCTGAATTAGCTGGCACCGTGCCAGCTGAGTTCCAGCTGAGCTGGCACCGACACTTTGCTCACATAAGTTTTCATACTTTTTTACATAAAATGTATCTACACTGTAAAAGATTACATACGGAGAAGAAACAGTTTTATAATGTTCTCTTTTCAGCGTTTTATAGCAATATGAAAACCACTCGGTCCGCTCCGCCGTCGAAAAATCGGCTTTTCTGCTTCTCAAGATGTGATTCGACCACTTAAAAAGCTCAGAAAGCTGTGAAAAGTTCTTTCATGAAATCAGAAATGCACGAAAACACTACTACATTTTTCTACATATATAAAAATGATGACGGGTTTTCAAAACAGGTCAAAAGGGACTTCGTACGAAATTTTCAATATCAAACGGGACTTCGTTTTGAAATTTCCCTGGTGCCAGCTCGTGCCGAGCCCTGGTTGAGTGGTTTCATTTATTAGCACAAATGAATATGATGGTTGTGTTCAGCTGTCACATTACCCGACTGTGCAAAAGTTTCGGCAAATTCTTATGCCGCTCCTTGAATTAGACGGATGCCTCCAAACTTGACGTACTCGACTTGTTTGTTCTATCGTGGGCGTTGAACTAAATTCTCTCCAAATCCTTTTTTTTTGAGCTCGTCATTGTCTAGGAACACGAACCTACATCATGTCAGCGTATTTGACTCAGCTTTTCTTGAAAACTGTAAAGCTCTAATTTCACCAGTTCTCGAGATATGTTGGGTGTATGCCATTCTGAACCGCTTCGCCCTAGCGCTATTACTCTGCCCAGGCGGCGCTAATAACTCCGCCTTTGTTATAATCAAACAGAGTTTTAGTTTCTGAGCAAGCATTCCAAAGTAAGCGAGGCACACGAATATTGATAGTGACGATGTTCGAACTATGAAGACAAAAAGTTGGAAAAGTTGCATTTCTTACTGGTCTTTCGTAATTTCTTCGCCCTTCCCACTTTTAAAACACCATGGAGTCTGCACGTGTAAGCGGAATAATCCACCTAAGCCGCCCATGTATAACGTTTTTGAGTTTCATGGAAAGTCGAAATCTTGTTCAAGTCTTTTTATCATGAGAATGCATTTGCAGTCCAATTCAGACGTCTCTAGCGACAGCATTGCTCTCGCCCACCCGAGCGCCACGGCAGCGCCGACATGTCACAGGCCCGCAGTAATTAGGCTGCTAATGCTAGCGGTTCAGAAGGGCCGTCTCCCAAGAGGCTGTCTTTTGACAGTGTCACAGCTTCAGTTGCTCTTCACGCGGTCACCTCCTTTGTTCCTGCTCCGCATTCGCGGACGTTAGCTGCGATCTAATGTTGGAGATGTTCAAGAATACATTTACGGACGCGACGCGCGAGCACCGGCGCTGTGACTTTGTTGAGACTAAGGTTGTCCCAATGCGAGTGACAAAACAGCAATGGTTCGGGTTAAGAACGACCACCTCCAGGCTTTGCGTCGCGTTTGCAAGCGTGTTGCTTGAAGATTTTTTTCGTGCTCATCAGCATTTAGTCTTTCCGCAGGCTTGGAAAAATGTCCTGAGGATATGTGCGCGGATGTGTTCTAGGACGCAAGCGATGCGGTCGCGATATCCGAACCGCTGAAGTTGTGAGACTCACATGGAGACAGCCTGTATGTCACAATGGTAGAGGCCGCTTAGGGTCAAATTCTCTTGCTTAGGGAAGTTTGGGCATATGCGTCGCATTGCGAAACATAATAATGCAGTTCGTGCATAATAATGAAGTCCGTTCAACCTAAAAGTTGCATTACATTTTTGGCAGTAGAGTTTAGCCCCATTTTCGGAAGATTCTGTGTTTGGTTTCATAAACTTGCTATCACTACTATTGTTTGTGTTGCAATGGAATTGGAGCGTAAACCGTATATCTCATTAAAATGTCTAATTTTTCTACTCTAATGATTTGGTTGTAGCATGCTGCTAACCGAAATGAAACAGCACAGGGTCTTCCATTCCCAAGACCTGATGGAGTAGCAACGGACGCGAACCGTGGCAGTGAGCACGAGCGGAATCGATCGGAAGAGGTACGAAATTCTCCTTTGTTCTGCCAAGCTAATGAGGTTTGATCACAAAATCCGTTGAAGTTGCTCATCTAGTCCTAGAAAAGCGGTTCGTACTTTTATGAAAAATTTTGAAGCCTGCATTCGTTAAAGTTCGGGTCGCGTTCCTTCTTTGTGTTGAAGAAAAGTTGAAAAAAGAGCATAAACTGCGGAAGAGCAAACTCATGCTGCCCAATGCGATGACCACCTAATTTATTGGTTATAGGTACCTTGCCCGGGGGGGGGGGGACTTTTCATACGATCGGAGACTCCGCACCTAGCCTTCGCAACTACCTCACACCTACATCGCACCTCTCCATCCACGTAATGAGTAAGATTCTCCACCACGCCTAGTGAGGGGGGAAGGGGACTTTTTATACGAACGCTCCCCGATCACTTTGACCTTCTAGCGTATGCTAGGGTGCTGGTAATACGTCCAGTTATCGATTACAATGGATTAAAATGAAACGTTTATCATCAAAAGTGCGTAAACTAAAGAACATCTTGATTTCATCTGTTGTATAAAGCTTATTTGGTTGAAATAGCGTATCATAGTAAAGATCGTCAGGCCACAGCGAATTCATTTTCGCAAACAATTGGCACAATTGTGGTAATAAATAGTTCGCTTTATCGAGTCGCATGCCCTCCAATGGGTGTAGCTATGCCAAGAGGCGCGATTCCTACTGCCAGATGGGCAGCATATAGCACATATTTGGTGTTTTATGAAGTTCTAGAATTACTTGAAATTTCGAAAGAAATATATTAGGGAATTAGGGATTGTTCAATCTCCTTATCTTGAAATCGATTTCAAACAAGATTGTTAAAGGTCAAAAACACATAAAAATGCAGTTAACAGCAATTTTGTAAATATTTCTGTCAGTTTTCTAGCAAAAGACGTCAAACTTATCAAGTGGTTACTTCAAACAGCTAGTAAGCCAATGAACTTTGTCCGGCACTTTTTGAATTTTCCCATAGCATGAAACTGGAGTTTTAAGTTGATGACACCCAGAAAAAATCGCTCCTCTTGACCGTCTTCCCCCTCCAATATCCCCTACGGGAAGAGTAACACTTCCAGGTCATGCTGAAAGGTCGGAGAGGCATGTGACAATACTCAAATCAGTTCAAAACGTCGCAAAAAGACCGAATTATGTCGACTTGAATACTAAAAAATTCGTAATTGGAACGATCATAGTGTTATTTTTCACAGCCAAACACTTTTTGAATCCATACATTATTCAAGTTTTCCAAATTTATCCAAATTCGCGGTACTGCAAAAGCTAATCTAGATGTTTTTTTGGAATGGAGCCAGCAGGCCCAAACCTGGCATGGTGCGAGTTTTACTGGCTCTTTGCCAAAAGATTATGTGGAGGCATTCGTATGAAAAGTCCCCCTCCTCCTCCCCTCTCTACAGTATACTAGACACGGAGGTGCGAGACTTGACACGTAGCCGTGGGTGTTCACATCCTGCACCTCGCAATTGCTCATCGTATGAAAAGTCACTCACCCGCAAAATTGGGTCCGTAGTTCCACTTTTCACAGAGTCGTGGATGTGTGGCAAGTAAATGTGCAAGCCATAGACCAAGGCCCAAAAAAGTGATCAAAAGTCTACTTCATTTCAAAAAGGGCGTCAAAAAAAATAGGTTGCGTAAACAGTCAATTTGCCAAGGTACCAGAGCTTTTAACGAGATTTCTAAACAAAAATGCAGCTTACGGTGATTATTGTTCTTACGGCGACCACCAAAGCCATGGAGGAATCAAAAACCTATTCAAATCTGCTTTCGTTCTCATGCGAAAAAATATCATCCACGCGAAATCACCGACTTCACATGAAAGAGCTTTTGGAATAAGAGTTGTTTACATTTTATTCGTGATAGTCGGAATTGCGCGGTGGTTTTCAATGTCATCATTATGCGAGAATGAGTAGGGCATTCCGACAGTAGAACCAGTGCGAGCCTCTGCGAAGCAGAGGTGACGCACTGGTTTTTGATAAGTGAACAAAAAGATATGTATCTGAAATCTTATTCTACTCATGAAACTTGATCATGGTCCTCGGGATCAACATCTCACACATGCTAATGACTATGTCTTTCAACTATCGTTATTCTTCGCAGAAAGCATTCACGGACTACTTTTCCTCTGCTGATTATTCTAGAACTCTGCTGTCAAGGTCCGGGCAAGATCGTCTGAAAGCAGGCTGGAATTCGTTTTTGAAGCAAACAGCAAAGGGGATATCGCTTTTGACGAGTCGGAACCGAGCACCAAGAATAAGCGCCATTTGGTCGAACACAAGCTTTTCGGACAGGTTATCACACGATTGGCATGCTCTATCGTGCATGGCAAAAAGTGCGCGCGATTTGAAAGCAAGGCTTAAATAAACAAATTGCGTGTTTACAGCGCACACAGAAGCATATGACACCAAAATTGAACTGTATTTATAGAAAATTATTTGCGAAAGGATTAAATTAATTAAGATCAAGATTAAAGATTTGAAAACTAAAGTGAAATAATACCTTTTTTAAAATTGGATCGTCTCCAGACGGCCACCAGACGATCTGAGATCGTCTGGTGGCATATATTCTCGTCACTTCACATAAGTTTCGGAACTTTTCAGCATGGAAGGAGGTACTTTTCCGTTTCCGTTCCGGACCCATTTTTTCAAAGAAGGATATTGCTTCTTTCCTTGTACCATATTTGCTCCTAAATTCACAGGAAAGGAGTGTCAACCTTCCGCCACGTGTCAAAAAAATTTGACATGTCATCCACATGTTTAGCAGGTTTTTTACCAAGAGTTTGTATTGCCTTACCTACTGACTCAAGTTCAATCGATTTTTCAATCAATAATGACCCCATTTTCGAGTAAACCTTTCAAAAATAAATATCATTATGATTATGACGTTATTCTATTATTAATGAACAGAATGGACTTGCTCAGAATAGAGAATTGTGATAGATTCTCATCATTTTAGCGGCGAAACAAGCAGTAGCGAGGTACTTCAGCCTTCATTTACAGTCCATCTTGGCTAAAATCGCATGGCGGACAGAGTTTGTAAAGAAAGTCGTTTTTAAATCATTCCTAGAAGCAATAAATGTCCTAATATAAGTTCTAAATTGTTTTTCTTTTACAGAAACCGTTAAACAGCTTTTAGGTGATCATAAATGCTCTTTTATCTCATGGCGAATATTTTCGAAAGAAAAAACATGTCAATTTTTTGTGTTTACTCGAAAATGGGGTCATTATTAATTGAAAACTCGATTGAACTTGAGTCAGTAGGTAAGGCTCGGCGATACATTATTGTTGCCTTTACGGAAATGGTCGGTGATCTTTCTACATTGGTACCATCATTTGTTGAACTCGTATACGTCTGGCATTCAGGTATGTTTATCCCCTTGTTTTAGACACTTATTTTTTGACCATGCCTGATTTCAACTTACGCGACTTCTTCCTTCTTTACTAAGAACTCCTTGCTCATTTTTGTTGGACCTTAGCTTTATTTTGTAGCCACCAAAGTGGCGCGGCTGATTGATTGCTTGCTGCCAGATCTTGAAACAGGGGTTTGTAGTAAGTTAGATGTTACGCCGGCTACAATCTAGTCAGCGAGGTAGTTTAAAATGCATCGATTTGTGGGTTCTTCGAAGACAGTGCCGCTTTGGTCTTTGATTCTTATCTTAATCTTGCACTTAGGGTACGATTCATCGCTCTACTGCTTTAGGAAGTGGCCAAGTGGTCATATCGGGTTCTACTAATAAATCAGCGCGCTTACCAGGACGGTAAGATCTGATGTCCCCGTTGCTTCTGAAGCTCAATGTTCATATATCGATTGCGATATTGAAGCGCATCGACAGTGTTGACTTTTGTCGGCAGTCTCTTCAGACATATTGACATGGACACATTTTGTGACCATGTGGATATCATGGCAAGAGCGCAATTGTAACACAGTAACACTTACAAGAGAGGCTCGCGGAGAAGTGGCTGATCAGCACGAGATGTATACCATTTCAATTAGCAGATGTTTCCGTCGCTTCTGATTATGTTTGCACTCGCATACCGTGTAAGCAATTTTCATAATCTACGTTTGGGTGCCTTCATCCATCATTTTTATAGATCTACTCGGAACCTTGGCTCGAATACGTCAGTACCCCTCGTCGTGCTAGTTAACGGTTCCTTCAGGTTACGCCCATCGTGCAACCGCCGCTGCGAGTGCAGTGGTCATATGGTGGCACAGAAATGTCATCGTGCGACCGCAGCGACGTAATTTGAAGGAACCCCACCGAGATGAGCAGGTGGACATACACTTGCAAACGCTTTGCATGCTCCACGCACGTTTCCTGTATTCATGCACATCTTATGCATTCATGCCTTCAGACTACGTCCACTTTGGTGGGTACCGAGTGATTATGGGGAAGACGAATTGTGGAAGAAATTTGCCCGCCTATGCCGACTCGAGATTTGAGTAAACAAAACAAAAATGATCTTCTAATCTACAAAATCCCTGACACTGGAATGTGTTGTATCTTTTCTCCAAGAAAAATAAATTTTGGGATATCTACAACTGCGCACTATGCAAAAAAGCGGCCAATGGCGTGCCATAAGGGTGAGTGTTTCATCCTCGTATTCATAGATGTGATCTCAGTACTGCCCCTCAGGTCGTCGGCAATTCATTTTTATGCAATCCCTGTGACATTGGTCATATATGTACTGCGGTAAACTTTTCGCAAGATAAAGGAAATCGCATAGCTTACGAGGTTCTTAGTAAACTAATGTAGTCTAGTCACTATGTCTTTCCCTTCTCAGGCAGTTCGCCAAATCAAAGAAAACAGTCGTAATGCAGACAGACAACCTCGTCAGATTTTGAAGAGACCCTGGCTGGAGCTGCCGAGCGCTAAGGCGGTAGCTGTCTAGGCCTAGTTGGGTTCAGTTGATATTTCATGTACATATCCCAGAAGAGGTCGTAATGGCTTTTTGTGGTGAAGGTTATAACCAAAGATGGCAGGCAATTTCGAGGTTAGGCTTCATACATACCTAACGGGTTAGGCACACCCGACGATATGTCGACGATAAGGCGATAAGCTATTGTATCTAGCTATCTAGTGTGGCTATCTGACGATAACCTATTCTTGTTTTGGCAGCCCCCTCCTCTATGAAATCTGATGAAAACGAACAGCATAGTAACTGCGAAGCAAAAGTGAAATAAAAACTTGTTTTAGTGGTAGAGGGCTGGGAGTTATTGGCTTTCTCAGAGCCATCAATTCGCCCAGAGATCGCGAAGTAAAGCTCGAAAATGTACCAAATAACCTCGTATATTTGTCTGATGGCACACGATTTGTGCATGCCATGGAAGCCCACCTGCATTTCTATTTTTCAAAGAAAACGCTGAAAGTACTAGTGCTTTACAGAACAAACATAATATAGCTTAGCATTGCTCTCAGAAGGCTTGCACCAACGGGCTTTATGCCCTGGTTGCAGATGGAGTGCATACGAAACAACCAAGAAATCTGGTCCAGTTATATTGCGTGCACGGCGTTTGCTGTGGCGGCGTCGAAATTCCATTATTATATGCGTTGACTGCCCGGAAGAACGAAGCCACATACAGGAAGATCTTCGGCCTCTTCCAGGACAAGCTCGAGCTTTACTGCCCAAGGCCCATGTCAATTCATTTCTTCCGGGCAGTCAACGCATATAATAATGGAATTTCGACGCCGCCACAGCAAACGCCGTGCACGCAATATAACTGGACCAGATTTCTTGGTTGTTTCGTATGCACTCCATCTGCAACCAGGGCATAAAGCCCGTTGGTGCAAGCCTTCTGAGAGCAATGCTAAGCTATATTATGTTTGTTCTGTAAAGCACTAGTACTTTCAGCGTTTTCTTTGAAAAATAGAAATGCAGGTGGGCTTCCACGGCATGCACAAATCGTGTGCCATCAGACAAATATACGAGGTTATTTGGTACATTTTCGAGCTTTACTTCGCGATCTCTGGGCGAATTGATGGCTCTGAGAAAGCCAATAACTCCCAGCCCTCTACCACTAAAACAAGTTTTTATTTCACTTTTGCTTCGCAGTTACTATGCTGTTCGTTTTCATCAGATTTCATAGAGGAGTACTCTGCGTTGATACCACTGCTT